TTCTCCTTCTATATCTAACCCTGTTGTGTAAGTATCGATATATATTTCCCAGACATACCAACTTCCACAGTAATTATTGGACTCTAAAGTCTCCAACCCAAAGAAGACTGAGTTTTTTCCATGCCGGTCAAGATCCCCTACTTGCCCAGGCATTTTAGTTGCCATTCCTTTCTGGTTTTTTCTTAATGCTGTTAATCTTTTTTTAAAAAAAATATTTTGCTTAATTATGTTGTATTGCTGTTTTTAATTATATAGCATATTGTAGGTTTCTGTGAATAGCTTTATTTTTCCTTCATCCTGGAATCCTGTGGATGAAGCATGGCTACCAAGTATTCGAAATGAAATTATTACTTAGGCTGCAATTATCTACATATCCAGAACTAAGTCCCATTGAACTTATTTCAAAGGGTAGATACACATAGGGTTGCACTGCAAGAAAGGCGTTATTTTTTACTGCAAAGTTTCAGAGGCAGCTCTTGCTGTGATGCGAAGAAAACGTGGATATTTAAATCCTGGAATTCATAGCTTCTAAGTAATAGCATCCTGTGACACAAAGGGCAAGTTCCTTCCTTAAGAGTACTTGTTACAGAATTTACCATAATCCTTTAATTCCTATAATTGGGTCTAGGTACCACCATGACTAGAGCTTTAAAAAGCCCCTAAAGCTGCATAGAGACTTCTTGTATTTTCCTCATTCTAATTAGAAAGGGAAACACCTGGAACAACTACATTTTGTTGGGGGCCTTTCATCTTTCGGAAATAAAGACATGCCATTCCATGATTTTCTTTACTTTTCCATGTCATATTATCTTTAGGGCAAAAGTCTTAGAATAAATAAACCACAACAAGTTTGCACCTTAATCCAAGAAATGTGCAAACTACAATATCAGATAGAACTGTTGCATGTGCTAACACCACAGTTATAAAGCGTATGGGATAAAGAACGAAAGCCAGTTTCAATTTTAATCCTCTTGAAACATCATCCTACCAAATAGTAGATAAGTAAAGGTTATACTGATATTGATCCAAATGACTTAGAGCAGCATGCAGATTTAGTCATTCTGAAGACTTTATCCCATCTTTCTCTCTTATTTTAACCTATAAATTCCTACATAGTTTAACCCCAATAACTGTCAGAGTACTCCTCCCAACAGCAACCTCTGAGGCCTTTCTCCAAGAGCCTACTCTGAGGGAAGTGCAGAGGGTGGCAGCAGGGGGAAGGGCTTTCTCAGTGGTGGCCACCCATAACCTCCCCACTGCGGCCTGACTGGGGCCAAGCCTGTCATCTTTTTGGTGCCAGGTTAAGGTGGTCCTCTTTTCTGAGAGTTTTAAGGACTTACTCGGCCATCCAGAGGCTTGAGGGAAATCACCAGGTGTTGCAGAGTCACTGTTCTTTATCATTCTCTGCACCTTTTGTTTTTATCATGCATTTTAGCTATTTTAAACTTTTATTTTTTCTGTTTTTCCTGAGTTTTTATTGTATTGTTATCATTTGTTTTATGGATTGTGTAAGCCACCCAGAGAGCTTCAGCTGTGGAGAGGCACAGAAATGAAATAATAATCACAAAAACAACTTTTGTGCTAAGAAAACTATACCAATGATCACACCTGTTGATAGTGCAGTTGTTCAATGTGGCGTTTCTATGAGAGGATGGTCTGACTTGCCACCTCAAGAGTTTCCTGTGACATCACATCTCCCTTTTGTGATACAGCTTTTAATACTGAGCAACAGAATGTGTTCGGCTTTCCTTCAAGTAGAAATTGTGAGAGAACCAGTGTTAGTCCTACTTACGAGTCACTGAATGAATGGGACCTGATTTAGATTAACACTGGATGCAGCCTCATGTTTTGTTTTGTTCTGTTCACAAATGATACTGCCCAATGGTGCTGCCTTATCATTCAAAAACCACTTTTTAATTTGGAATATAACTGTTTTAAAGTTCCATATGTAGGAGTTCTTCATTGTGATGTGTTTCATTTGCATCGATTGCAGGTCAGATAGTTGGCTAGAGATAAAACATCTAAGTGCCAAGATTGTGACTCTTCATTGGGCAGAGTAATTGTTGGTTGAGTGAGCTGACTTTTCCCAAGTTGCCATGTTCTGAGGTTGACATAATTGCTTAGTTGTGCAATATTGCAGGACACTAGTAAGCAAAGAAAACTTAAGGTTCCTTTTTTTTCCAGGATGTGCATAGAAGAGAGCCAGTGTGGTGCATAGGACTGGGAACAAGGGACTGGGACTCAGGTGGTTGAGGTTCTAGTCCCCACTTGGCCATGGAATCAATAGGATGACTTTGGGCCAGTCACAGACTCTCAGCCCAACCTACCTCAGAGTTGTTGTTGCAGGGAAAAGATTGAGAGCAGGAGGAGTATGATGTAAGCTGCTTTGAGTTCTTTAAAAGAAAAAGGGTGGAATATAAATCCAATGAATAAATAAAATAGATATAGCATTTGTCTCAGGGACTCTGAAAACCAGTGCAAATACCCCTGTGCAGACTGACCTGGATGTAAGTCACATTGAAAACAGTTATGTCATACTTTTAAGTAAAAATACATAGGGTGAGTTGGCAGAAATGCAGGTTCGACTGCTGGAAGTTCATAAGCATTTATCCATCAGTTGCAGTGTGAGCATTATTCCCTCTCTAATTGCTTTGCTAGAAGAACTTTCTTCAGAGTTACTGTGCTGAAATTAGGTTGATTTATTTTTATATCCTATTTTTATGTAAAGATAGCTAAGAATAAAATTCAGATAAACCAAATACACACCCAACAAAGTAAACAGTACCAACCAATTAAAACCCTTCCGCAACAGATGAGCTTACACAGCAGAGACCTGCCTGAATAAGAACGCATTTGCCTTCAGACAGGACGGCAACAAAGAGGGATCCAGAGCATCCCCACCTCCACAGGGAGTTCAGAGCCCGAGAGCAACCTCCAAGAAAGCCTTCTTTCCTGCTTCTGCCAAACGTGCCTCGTCACCAGAAGATCTCAATATCAGAGCAGGCTCATGTGGGAGAAGGTGGTCGTGCAGATAGCCTGGTCACAACCACGTAGCGATTTATAGGTCATAATCAGGACCTTACATCGTGCCTGGAAACAGATCAGCAAGCCAATGAAGCTGTTGCAAGACAGGAGTCACGTGTCCTTGATCAACAGCCTGGCCACAGGTTTCTCAGCCTGCTGGATTACTTCCAATAAAAGTAATTGTGTTCTGAAAGTTCTAAGTCTAGACTTCCACCCTCTGCAGCAATTAAGCCATCTGCAGAAGAACCCAGGCTGCACTCTGTGAACCATTTCCCCAGCCTTAATTTCCAGCTTAATCTTATTCACGTTAGCGGTTCCCTGCACTCTTAAGTACTCACTTTTGTAGCCATTACAAGGATACAATATGCAAGGATACACTTGCCTATTACTGTCTATACTTGGTTTTTTTAGGGGGCAGATGGGTTTTTTTTAAGCATCTTGTCTCCACTCTAACTCATTCTAGTATAGATTTCTGCATCGCTTTGAACATAATGTACTTTGGCTAATGAATAAAATGCCAGGATGACTGCCCAAATAACAAAGCAAAAAATGTATTTTATATTTCAATTGAAATATTTATTCATCTTGTTTTATTGAGTTGACTGTTGGCTGCTTAAGCCTGCGGATAGATTACTATCTAAATTAGATCATTAAAAAGAAATGGTGAAGTAGTTAATAAGAACCTATTTATTTGATCAAGAGCGGGGTCTGCCGCTTTCATAACTGTTTCGCAATTCCTGTCTGCGACTGTGTAGGGATCATATTACTGGAGATCACAAGGTCTGGAGTTCTGTCAAGAGTTTCTGGTGGCTGTTTTTTAATGCAGGCATGTCCACTCTCCTGCCACTAGGGCAGGTCGCAATCTCCACGTTTCGGTAGGGACACAAAGAGGCAGACGTTGGCTTCGTGCCTTCCGTAGTCCAGAAGTTGCTTGCAAACTCCTGAGTGGAACAAGAGCATTCACGTCGCTGTGGACTAGCTCCTTCAGTAAACCGAGCAGGTTACTGAACTTCCTTGGAAGTGGATTTGCCCTGACGATGTGAACCGTGAGGCTTAGTAGAACCGCCCGAATTAACTGTCCGTTTCTCCCATCCGAGCGCGAAAAGGTGTCCCGGCTAGAATCGGCGAGCAGGCTGCGTCTAGAGACGTAGTTTTGCCTCTGTGCAGTCATAAACCGAGCAAAGAAATTGCAGCGCCTGCTTCAGCGCACCACCCGGTGCAAGGCGAGAAGGCAGGAGTTGCAAACGTTCACACACGCTCGCTCATTAAGCCCTCTCTATAGAGCACTAGAGCCCGAAGGGATGAACTCCTTCCCCGAGTGCTTGCTTCTTTGTTGCGGGCGGGGGAGGTCCCCTTTCTCCTCCCGTCCGTCGCCAGAGCACTCCTGGCCCGCCGCACGGAGCGCGGTGCCGCCGCCGCCGCCGCCTGCGTGAGAGCGCGCCGACTGACTGGCTGCCCCGAGGAATGCGCGGCATGCAGGAGGCAGGAGCAACCATTCGGCCGGGCGGAGAGGGGGGAAGGGAGCGGCCGGCGCCTGCTGCGGGCGCAGAACCCCGCGCGCCTCGGGGAGCGGCGCGCGCGCCGGGGGCGGGGGGCGCGCCGCCCGAAGCACGCGCCGGCCGCTCCCTTCCCCCCTCTCCGCCCGGCCGAATGGTTGCT